GAAAAAATATCGAACCGTGAGACTAAAGTATCGAACCGAACCGTGAATTTCCTGTATCGTTGCACCCCTAATTTATGTATGTATACCAGGTGGGTTTTTTTAAGTTTTGTGAAACACATACAACGTTATGAGCATTCACTACTCATGAGTTGTTCTGCTTTGATTTTTGTAATTGCTATAATGATGGCAATAAACCTAGAMAATTTTATATAAAGTTTTGCAAGCATAGGTGAGACTGAAAGCATATTTCTTTGTAAACAAATTTTAATGAACACAAATATGAAAGCCTCCCTTTTTACAGTATGTGCATACCACAGAAGTTAGAATTCCAGGCTTGCATTTTCCCACGATAACACAAGCTCACAAACAGCCTATCACAGGCGAAACAAAAACCAGCTAGCCGCGTTGCAAAACAAAGCTTAGCAACAAACGTAGTTTCAAATCAGATCTGGAATGAGATCATAGCAGCAGAGATAACCAGCTCAAAGTATCAAGCAACATTCAGCCCCCTTGAGTTCAGAAAACAGATATACTAGATATTGCTTTGTAAATCCCATATTTTAAAAAAAAAACTGCATTCAGCTGCAACATACTGACACAACATGACTATTTAATATGTCAAAGGATTTGTTCAAGTGGTTTAAAGTTGAATCCTGCAAAAAGGTGATAAACAATTAAAGTTGGATACCTTGTTGAAGAACCTCAGTTTGGAGAGAAAAGTTTCATTTTGACCAGATTGATAATCTAATGGTTGGTCTGAGTGGGAAAACCAAAGTGGATTGCTGCCTTCTTAAAGCAATCTCAAAGAATTCCAAGTGTTTCACCATTACCTCGTTATCTTGTCAAAACAAAACTCAAAACACTATTAACATGTAAGATATTGATTACATGTTGCCTTTCCATAAACCCCWCCTCAGAAGATCTGATCCATCGATTTAATGCTTGAAACCTTTCTATAAATAAGCAGGAAGGCCACAGATTTTCTCCTGCAACTTAATATCTATGCTGTGACGGCATAAACATTGATTTGCCTTCCAAATATAGCCTCACTTTGTTTATTCAGATGAGCGGTGCCATGGAAACACAACAAAGTGGAGTTACAGGAAAGTTCTGAGGGAATCTAATCCACCAGCCTGTGAAAGGCTCGTATTACTCAGGAACAAAGGTAGCCCAACGTCTGCTGTTTGAGGCTCAGAAGACGACAGCCTGCTCAGGGTACAGTTTTAGTCTCTTGCTTCTCTCATTAAAAAATTTAAATAAGAAAACACTGAGTTTTACCTTGTGAGCACAGTAAACAAACAAGAGTCTGTATCTTCCAGGAATTATTGGGGCATCATACGTAGTTTTTGCTAAAATAAGCAATGTTTTTCAGGCTCAGGCAGATGTCAAACATTGATGAGGCTGATGATGGGACCAACAAGGACAAAAAAAGAACAACTTTCTTCTTAAATTGGACTTATTTATCCAGCCACTCAATTAAACTCATTTATTTACAGTCAGAAATATCCAGTTTATGATCTGGACAGAGATTAAACTTATTTTAAAGTCCTCCAGTTTTGACTCAAAATACACGTTAATTGACATTTTCTATGAATTTAGCATTTTTAAATAGCTGCAACGTGTATTTTTAAACAATGCCTTCAGTCTATAACTCCAAATCAGCAGATATTTGATATTTTAGTTGTCGCTGCATACGAGGCCTTGCGGTCACGCTCGTTTTTCACTTCARTTAATATTTCAGGATGTGAAACGTCTCGTTAAAAATAGCCACTGAATTCCCACTAATTCTCGCAGATACTTTAATTTCAAGTTTGCAATGTTGCAATTTTTTGCAGCTTCCAAAGGAAAAACAGGTGTCATCAGCAAAAACAAAGCTCACAAATGTTCACAACGTGGTTCTGGAACGTGCTTACAAAATGGCAGCAGAAATGAGACAAGTTTTCACAAACTTTGTGTGCGTGCTTCTTCCTTCAAAAAAAAAAAGTCAGTCAGAATGTCTGACACAAGCATAACCTGCAGCCATCCTGTGCAAAACCACAGGGTACTTCCTGTTTTACTGTGGTTTTACAGCATCTCACATTCAACTGCTTTAAAATGTAGAAAATGTACAAATCATTCAAATCCACTGATTTTAATGAATATCAGTAATTTATAAAAGCTAAACTGCCAATCTGCAAAGGATTTAAAGCATTAATGGAATAAACTGAATAGATATGTAAATAAAATAAAAAATACAGTGCAATTTTTGAAACTTCATTTATGGATAAACTTTACAACATGAAAAACGAAAAGAAATGCTTTTTTTTCTTTTCTCCACTTTTCTCCTTTCAGTATCTGAGGTTAAAAAATGTCTTAGTCTGCAGCTTTGTCATTCAAAGGGTGTTGTTCGGCCCAGAGAGATGGTGCTGACGTTTTCGCTCCGGAGCTCTTGGTCTTGCATATTATCATCATCAGAATCGTTATGACTAAGAGCGAGACGATGACAGTAACCACAAGCGCCACGGACCACGTAGCTGACGAGCAGCCAGAGACAGCTTGTGTGTTTCCTGAAAAAAATAATAATAATGAACATTCTTCAGCATCAAACGTTGAATAAAAGAATTCATAATGACAAGCTTACCGTTTGTGTGAACAGTGACATTTAAGTTTCCTGACTTCATCTTGGCAACACTCCTCCACCCCAGGCTCAGAGAGTGGAGCCACTCCTCTACCTCACAGAAATACAGGCCGCTGTCATCAGGACCAGGCTTCAAAACCGTCAGGGCGAAGTGGCGCGGCAGAGGGTGGTCGAACCTCAGAGCGTCCTTCCTGAAGTTGGCTTGTAAAGTGGAATTTCGGTAAGCTGTGAATATGGGACGCGTAACATCCGCAGCGTTCTGCCAGAACCACGTGACCTGGAACTGGGCTTCGTCGCTGGATTGTCGGGTGACGTGACAGGGAATGGTGAAGTTCTCAGCGTTGCTTATGTTCATCTGATCTTCTGCGGCTGTAACTGACAGGTTTGCAGCTGTTGGAAAATGCAGAGATTTAAAAATAAAATACTGTAAAATATACATTCACCACTATTAAGTGTCATATATTAGCTACTGGTGACAAAAGCAGAAGTCATATTGCTGAGGAACAATGTGGTTGGACATCACAGCTCAGCAAAAATACAATCAGACCACGCACAAGCTGCAAAAGATTATTATCAAATATTTTTTATTTGTCTACCCCCATTCTGTTTTCTTACTGTGAAGTTAGGATTACATAAACACTAATGTACTGTAATTTGGTTGCTGAAGGAAACATTTTATATTCATAGAAAAACTGGCACATTTTTAGTCTAATCTCATCAGTGTATATCAGAAAACTGTCTAAAACTCTTGGTGGGTAGTTTGCAAATGACAGAGTGTCAAAAGGTTTCAAAATGTCACAATTTCATTGTGTGAGTCATAAACCCTTGCAACATCAATAGTCTGTGTTTTTTTCAGGTTTTTTTATTGAAAGCTTTTGTGGCAACTGAGCTGTCATAAGATTTTGCCTTAGGAGAGACGCGCTTTTAAATCCTTCTTTTTCACATTTAAATCATTCACTTGAGGTCTATACAAGGTGGAACTGCACTTTGGTCTGACTTCCTCCCTATTGTAACTCCATAAGTCCCTCTTTCACCTCTTTACTGAGGTATGTCTCAGATCAACCCATTTTGACGCTGTCTCTTTAAATCCAAATGAGGGGCTTCACACCCCGCCAGCTTCCAGAACAGTCCAATGTAGTTTGATAGAGTTTATGACTATACAGGTATAGCAGTGCTTAATTTTTTTCTCCTTTTTACAAATGAGTTAAAAGATGTCAACACAGTGTAGTGTCCRAGAGTGGGGGCCTCTTCTCAGGAATGCACAGATGTGTTATGCCTCTCTTGGTTCTCCAGCTTCAGAGCTCAGYACATATTACCATATTAGGAAGAGGAATGCTTAAGGTATATCGTGACAAAATTGATGGTGCATCTGTTGGACTACACTATAAAGAGCCTTGTACGCCCCCTACCCTTGGCCTTCGTTCTTCATATTTCTTACTTGGTGAATCATTTGGCTYGAAGGCCTCAATTTGGTTTTTGGCTGTAATCTCCAGGACTGCGAAATAAAGATTCTTGCTGTTCAACCAGCCTGTTTCAGAGTTTCTTCATTGAGCAGCAGCAGTTCCGCAGAAGCAGAAGAYGTGGTTTTTACACCTCAACAGCATCAGAGACACAAATTAAATTGTCTGCACTCTCCAAGTACACAAGAAAATGTGTTTAACAGCTAAAAAGTGGATTTTGCATATGTCCCCTTAAATTAGGCAGCTGTAGTAAGCAACCCCTTTAACTTTGAAATAAAATGGAAAAATAAAATAGTTAACCTGACTCCTTAAAATTAATTATACTTTTATGTATGCACCTGTGTGTGAAAATCAGCACCTACTTTTAAAATTAAGAATAAAAAACATTTGCAAAAACACACTTCACTTAGACTGCCTGAAAATTGTTGCAAAGAGTGTAACCATACCTGTGACATTTACAGTCAGCATCATGGGGCCAGAACTTTTGGAGGCCTTTTGTTCCCATCGACCCTCATTATCCCGCTGGAACTGCTCCACCTGGCACCAGTAGACCCCACTGTCTGTTTTATGGGCCCTTTGAATCCCCAGGTAGAAGTTGCTCTGAGTGGGTCTGGAGAGACGAAGCCGACCCTGCAGGCCACTGAGCTCCTGGTTCTGTGGGTAAGTCAGCAGTCCAGTGTGATCGAGCTCCACCAGGGAAGAATTCCTGCTCAGGGATCTGGGTGGAGCGTAAAACCACGTGACTTTGTAGTAAAGGGCAGATGCATCTGAGCTGATGTTGCACCTGAGCTCCACTTCAGCTCCTTCTCTGGCTGTTAGCTGCTGCTTTTTATTATCTACAATAAGATCATTGGCTATAAAACAAGAAAAGAAGAATAGGAATAATTTTTTGGTTATTATTTTAAATTAGAAATGAATTTTGGCAAAAAATATTTGGGTGGGGAGTGAAAAAAATACCTACCAGGTTCAGTTATGTCTAACTTTGTATCCACAGACTTTTCTGGAAGTGAATACCAGTCTCCATGAGGACTTAGAAACCACTCCACCACTTTGCATGTGTACAGACCTTTGTCTGAAAGTGTAGCTTGACGAATAGTCAACTCAAAAGTTTGCCCATTTATGCGCCTCAAGCTGATTCGCAATCTGTCCTTCTGCTCCAAATGTGGCCCAAATGTTACAACAGCATTCCGGTCAGAGCCTAAAATGGTCTTATTACCATACAGCCAGGTGACAGCGTAGGAACAGGAATCAGCTGGTTTTGAAGAAACTGTACAGTTTATTTGAACGTCAGCGTTGACATTTTGTGGAGATTTGGCGCTGGAAGCAAGGACTAGATTGCTCACTAAAACAAAAAAAAAAGTCATTAAATAGAAATACAAGAAAAAAGCAGAATGATTTTTATTTATTTTATTCTAAATACCTGGGTTCTTCACATTCACCATCAGGGAGGATGAGTCTTTTAGCTCCATATAATTGTTCTCCAGAAAGACAGACACGATACACTGGTACAGCCCAGCCTCCCTGTGGCTGGCACCGATGATCTTCAGGAAGTAWACGACTGCTTTGTCCTGCTTTTCAACGTAAACCTGGTAATGGCGCTGATCTCCAGACCAACTAATTGGACCATCTGAGGACAGTGTCACAATAGTGTTTCTGCTGGAGTTTTTTAGCACGCTCCAGCTGAGAATCGTTGGCACACGTAGCCCTTGAACYTTGCATATCAACTCCCCGTCCTGTCCCACGGTCAGTTGGTTCTGGCGAGTTTTCAGAGACACTTTCACCAGTGATTCTGGGAGACAAAATTAAAACGGTCATATTTTAAACTCCATAAAAGTTCAAACACAAAGGAACACCAAAACCAAACACACAGATCATAATAAGTCATTTCCCTCACTGCACTTCCTTTGCTGCCTGGGGTACACCTGACCGGAAAATGATATTATTTCTGCTACAGTTTAAAAAATAGAGAGAGTCAGCAGGGACACTGATGAGGAAGGGGGTGGCACACGTAAATGACCCCAAGTTCATGCCATATAAATGGTAGAATATTATAWAAAATGAATTGGCGTGTCAATGCTGACATGAAGTGAGTGCATAGAGCTGTATGTTTGGTTGTTTGTGTGGTAGGTATGTTCTGCCTTTAGTTTCAAATGAAAATGTGTGTCTTTTTTTACTTTATTACAAGATTATAGTCAAATTATTACAAGAATAAAGTTGTAATATTAGGAGAATAAAGTTGTAACACTATGAAATCATTCTTACCACTGTATTAAAACGAGGAATGTTGAACATCTTGTGAAGTTGTTCTTTAGTATCAGTTAAAAGAAATATTTAATCTTTTAGTACAGTGGCATCAAATTACCAGTAGCAGGACTTTGAAATGAACAACTAAGTGATAAACTGAAGCCGTATTGTAGTTGTATTGAAGTTGTCACATAATTTAGATGGAAGCATATATTACATTCATAGCAAACTACTTCATAAACACACTGAAACATGGAAATGAGGAGGAAATGAGGAAAGAATCAGGAACGGAAAATGGACATGGCATGTAAGATTATGACATTTTTCTCCTAAAATACAACTTTAATCTCGTAAAAATTAACTTTTTTCTTGTATTATTATTACTTTAATCTCATAATTTTATGACTTTATTCTCGTAATTAAAAAAAATATATTAAAAAATCTCCTTGTGTGGCCCTAATACTCAGTGGTGGTTTATACTGTTGACGTGTTTCAGTTTTACTGTTTAAAACCCTGCTGTTGGTTAAACACTGGGCTATATCCATATAAGGTAAAATAAGGGCAAAACTGACAGCTGTGCACAATTTCTATAAATTAGCATTTGCAGGAACCACTATGACATTTTATTTAGCTTGAAGTTGTTTAATGACAACTTCCTCAAAAGATCTAAACTCTCATAAAACTCAAATTCAGAGCAGTTTATAAAAGTGTCATAAAACAAAAATATTACATTTCCTAAACAAAAATCTGAACCTTTGGTAGTGTATTTTTAAAATGTGCATTTTAGGAGTTATAATAAATTAAACAAAAGCTTACTAATATCATTCACAGTCACGCTGGCAGATTGTGACTGGCTGTGAGTCTTGCCGTTGGTTTTCCATTCAGTCACGGTGCACTGGTAAACACCCGAGTCTGAGGGAAGGACTTCTTCAAGCTCTAAAACAAAGCCCTCAGCCTCTACGTGCATGGCTCTCACTTTCCTGCTCTTGAAATTGTTTGCCGTCTCCATAACGCCGTCCTGATTTAGGCCGATGACTTTGGTGAACAAGGCTGTTTGGGGTTGGAGCTTGCGTTGCCAGGTGACAGAGAGATGATCCTTGTATCYAATCACTTTACAGACGAGTCTCAACTTTTCACTTTGGTCAACTGATACAGGACTTTTCATCGTCACCGAGAGCTCACTTTCTGTGTCAAAAAAAAGTCAGAAATAATAAAAAGATTATTAATGCTTATATGCAAGAGGGTGTGAATCAATTTGAGCTTAATTGAACAAACCTGCAGCTGAAATTGTAATCAGCTGGGGGTTTGAATCCTGGGGTGCCCCCGGGGTAAAACTTCCATCGCTGCCTCTCTCTTCCAGCCACCCTCTGCAGACAAACTCTCCCTGGTCCGTGGTTCGGACCGGCTTTAAGCTCAGCGAGTATTTTCTGTTTTCAATCCGATTGGCCCTCATCTCCCCTTCTTTCTCGCGACTGCTGTATCCGGAGTGCACGGACAAGATTCCTGTGGGGCCGACTCGGGCCAACTCGATGCCCTTCCACAGCCATGCCACGGAGAAGAACCGTGCCTCCAGGTTCTGGGTGTCGATGCTGCAGGACAACAGCAGCTCGTCCCCTTCCTGCAGAGTTGTCTGCTCTGCCGCCACGCTCACCGTTAGAGATGACATGTCTGTCACTTCTACATAACACCAAAAAATAAAAAGTAAAACATATCTCATCAAGGTTCTCCATGTCTAACACATTCTCACTCCCGACTCGTCAACATATTGACGCTTTTCCAAGAATCCCTCTGCGTCTTATTTTGACGCGTTGGGTGACCCCCTCGCGTCAGTCCTTGCCGCCCGCGGCTTTTCCGGGTTGCGCCACCAGGGGTCTTTGGGTTAGGGGTCTGAGGTTAGGTTAATTTTAGGTACTGGGGTCAGGGACAGGATGTCTAAAGTGAATAAAGGTAATTTTAGTCTTTGGAACGGCAGTTTTTGTGCATTTTCTACGCTTTCTGAAATTATGACAACAGATTCCGCCCCATCTCATCAAAAACTGACGCAAGGGGAGTACCTGACGCATCAAAATCAGATCACTTTTAATCCCCCATGTCTTAACAGCATACTGACCAAGTTTGAAGCAGATAGGTTAAAATCCCTAGCAGGAGTTCGCAAAAGTTCGATGTGAGCGAAAGTGAAACTTAAGGAAAATTTGACCTTTGACCCAAGATGGCCGACTTCCTGTTGGTTTTAGGGCATACCTTCAAGAGACTTTTTTTCTTGATTTGGGGAGATCTACCAATGCCCCAAATTTCAGCTTTCTAGGACTTACCAGTTTCTCTATCTCACATTAGGTGGCGCTTTYGAGTCATTTGGCCACGCCCATTGCAGAGGGAACCTTGGAATAGCGTCAATATGTGACGACTTGGGAGTGACAATGGGTTGCCATGTCATACAACAAGACTTGACAAAGAGTTGTTTCTGACCTCTGGCTTTGACCGTCAGGGTAATTTCCTCTGCATCTTTCTCGGCGATCATGTACCAGGATCGATCCGGATCTTGGATCCACTCTTGAGCCTGGCAGTAGATTCTCCCTTGATCTGACACCTCAAGCCGAGCCATCTTCAGCCTGTAAGTGGCCTCTCCTAATTTATCTAAGCTGATGGCTCCCTCTCTGTAACGCTGCTCGTACTTTTGGCCCGGGCTCAGGGTGAAGGATCTGTCCAGAGAAATGATGGGCTGAGCGTTTTCCTGTCCGTCTTTCTGGAGGTACCAGATGAGAGACAGGTGGGTGTGCTGGATGGTGTTGCTGGAGGCTTGACATGTCAAACTGAGCGCGTCTCCTTCGTTGTAGATCAGCTGAGAGGTAGAGTCGCTCGATGAAACACTTAGAGAGTTGTCAATCACTGGGTCAAAACAATAAAAAATGAAAACAGACACAAAAAAGACATTTTGATAGTGAAGACATAAAATGAACAGTTGAAACTGACAAAAAAAGACGAGTGATTACCTTTGACGGTTGTCTTAACACTGTAGACGCCATCATAACCGCTTTCTGTATCAACAACAGAGCAGTCATATTCTCCTTCATCTTCTTTGAGCAGTCTTTGTATCTGAAAAAGGGCTGAGTTGGGATCGACATGGGTAAGAGTGATATCCTTGTCCGACACGCGAACTTCATGGCTGGCGTAACCAAACCCAGGGTCGCTGGTGCTGATGATGTTGATCTCGAAATTTGGGCGAGCAGGTTTTGCCACACGGAATTCAAAGCTTTTTTCAGCCGCTTCATCCTTGAAGCCACTGACGTTGCAGGAGATGGAGAGCAGGGAACCCACGACCCGAAACAGAGGTCCGGCCTGGATCTCAGTGTACACCCTGGCCTCTGCTGAGAGAAACTCTGAGGTCAGTCACATTCTGTAAACTTTCTCAGTAATTAGCTGCTTGTTCTCTGAGTAAAGGTTTGTTTGAACTTTGCAATCCGTCTTTGTTTTCATTTTGTGATTCTCTCTCTCTGTATTTACAATATGTCTCTCTGCTTCATTTACCTGTTATCAGATTCTTTGTTTTCCCAAGTTATTTGTTGCCGTGCTGCTCACACTTTGTGTCTGTCCAACTCAGTTTGTTTCCATCTGGATCTTGCTTTTTTGCCATTTTCTAAACTTTTGGTTTTTAATAAAACTATAAATGRTGACATTTCAGAACTTTTTGGGAGAAATATGCAGAAACCTTATTGCTTGTTGGTTGACTCCTGTTTTTGGACCTTAAACACAGTTACTCCACAAAGTCTCATTACACATTGAATATTTTTCTGGCAACTGATTTCCTCCAACAATGATTTTTTTGTACGCATGAAGAAGGCCTCCAGTTTCAAGTAGGTACACACAACTTCTTATGAGTGATAAACTCATCCTGCATCATAAGCAAGCTTCACCAGTGGCAGGATTTCTTTACGAGTCTGAAACAAAGTGGCTGGCCTCGACAGACGTGTTGTGAAGAATGAGCACAACCGTCATCTTATAAAAAAAAACTCCTCTGCTGCACAGGACAGTTAAATCTGCTTCAGTCTTTTTTTTCTTATTGAGAGTGTACACCAGTCAGTGCAGAGGGAAAGACGTGTGCATCATAAAGAACCCTGTTTGACCCTTAAAAAGCTAAAAATCATATATATATATACATCATCAGTGTGTGAATGTGAGTGTGAATGGGTGAATATCTGTTAGTGTAAAGTGCTTTGGGGTCCGGAGGGACTTGAAAAGCGCTCCAGAAGTTCAGTACCATTTACCATATATACAGTATATATATACATATATATATAAAACAATTATACATATAAAAACAATTATACAGTATAATGGAGTTAAAACCATTACCAGATTTTTAATTCAACACATTTATCACATACTGAATTTTATTTTATATATGTCTAGACCAGGGGTGTCAAACTCCAGTCCTCGAGGGCCGCTATCC